TTGTGGAGTATTTCACTGTGGAGTATCATTTGTGGAGTATTTCAACGTGGAGTATTATTTGTGGAGACAATATGCTGGTACGACCCGAACAGCCGTCAGCAACGGCCGGCCGCATGGGGAGACGTCTGCAGCTGTAAGGAGGAATGAGGACAAGCTCTGGGGCTGAAGAGGAGCGGTTTCCAGGATCTACTGGGAGGCGGAAAAGCAACCCACAGAGCGTGCACCTTTTGTGCAAAAGAGGGAGAAAAATTTGGCTTTGTGTATGTATTTGATCATATTTGCAGAAGGAAACACCGCAGGATAGACCAAAAAGTAATAGAAAGGGTCGTTATTATCAGAGGAAGGAGTGGGTCAAGGTTAGAGCCGGGAGCCTGAGTTTTCTATCTATTTCTTATCATATAGCTTTGATTTTCTTTATTATTTTTTTAGACAGAGTGTCCCTCCATTGCCCAGGCTGGAATGCAGTGGTGTGATTTTGGCTCACTGCAGCCTCCGCCTCCAGGGTTCAAGTGATTCTCCTGCCTCTGCCTCCCCAGTAGCTGGGATTACAGGCACCCACCACCATGCCTGGCTAATTTTTATATTTTTAGTAGAGATGGGGTTTACCCACGTTGGCCAGGCTGGTCTTGAACTCCTGACCTCAGGTGATCCGCCTGTCTCGGCCTCCCAAAGTGCTGGGATGACAGGCGTGAGCCACTGCGCCTTGCCCAAAATGTGCTTTTGAGGGAGATGCATTCTGACAGCTTTAGGAGTGGAGAAGCATGAGGTCTGGTAATTAAAAAAGGTACTCCTGGCAGCAGCGTGCCCATCACTATGAGATTTACATGACACGTCACTTCCACAGTCACACCCGCTCCTCCTACTTCTAGGAATGCCTGGAAGCCTTCATGGTAAACAGTGTAACACATTTCCACATAGAGAGGAACTTATCTGCTGGAGGAACCCGCCAGCTTTCCCCAAGAAGCACGAGGGCACCGGGCCCCCCACACTGATGTGATCTCCCCACATTCCCACCACTCGTGGGCCTCCTGCAGGCAGGCAGGCTGGGCACTGCCCATGGGGAAGTGGAAAAGGCCAGTTTGTGGCTGGAGCTTCATAAGCTGAGGGCCATGTGCGAGACAGGAAGGAATCTGGGGTGTTTCATCCTCAAGGTCCTGTTGCCCTGAACCCCAGGCTCCATGCTGGGGGCTGGCTGTGAAGCACCTGAGGCTGGACAGATCTGACCCACCAGTCCCTCAGCATCTGATCTTCCTGAACAGGAACAGCCTCTTACCTGGTGTGCCACACCCAGGATTCTCAGCATTGCTACTGACTAAGATATTTCTGAACAAAACCAAGAAACTTAAAAATTGCACCAGGAAGGCCAGGTGCAGTGTCATCCCAGCAGTTTGGGAGGCTGAGGCAAAAGGATTGCTTTCGCCCAGGAGTTCGAGAGCAGCCTGGGCAGGATAGCAAGATGCCATCTCCACAAAAAAAGAAATGAGCTGGGTGTGGTGGCGCACACCTGTAGTCCCAGCTACTCAGGAGGCTGAAGTGGGAACATTGCTTGAGCCTGGGAGGTGGAGGCTGCAGTGAGCTGTGATTGCACCACCGCACTTCAGCCTGGGCAACAGAGTAAGACCTTGTCTCAAAAAAAAAAAAAAAAAAAAAAGCCCAAATAAGCATGGAAGGAAAACTGAGATGCCCGCCTCCAGGAGGGTCTGCTGGAGTGGCAGAGATCACAGTTCTGGTTTTGGGCCCCTACTGTCTCCCACTGCCCCTGGGTGACCTTAGGTGAGCCCTCATCCTCCCCAGGGTAGTCTCCTTGTCCATCTGAAGGACGGTGTGGTCCCTGCAAGCCTCCCTGAGTCCCGACTGAGATGCCTGTGGCTCTGCAATGCACGCTGTCACCTCTCATTGCTGCTTGTGCACGAGTCCCACCCTGACTCTGCCACCCCTGGGGCAGGGGCTGTGCCTTGTACCTCTGCCTCCCCAGTGCCCAGCACAGCGCCAGTGTGGACCGTCTGTATCCCCTGTGTGCCTGGGAGATGTGGGGGGCTGGGCACCCCCTTCTTCACCACCATTGCCCAGCACCCATCTCGAGGCTGTGTGCACCACACAGGGGTCTCACACCCGCAGCTGTCACCCTGCAGGACCTTCCACAGCCCAAGCTGACTACAAGCCTGATGGGATGCCAGATCCAGAATAACCCAGTACCCTCCTCTGAAAGGTTCCACCAGGGCCCTCAGGCTCCCCCAGGTCTGGCCCTGCTTCCTCCATCTCTGCACTCCAGATGGCCCTGAGCTCCCAGTACCACCTGCACCCACATCGTATTGGGGTCCCCCCCAGAGCTGACCATGCCAACGCCGGCAGCTGTTCACCCAGGCCCTCCAGGCGTCAGCTGGGGTGGGGCCACTCGTGTAGCTTGACTGTTCGATCATGTGGTGCTGGTGGCACTGTCTAGGTCTTTCTCCCATATTTATTGGCTTGTGTCCCTGGGGGACATGGAATAATGCTGCATGCCATGTGTTAAAAAATCGTGTCACTGCTCTGAGCAAGGAGGCCTTCCAGAAAGATGATTATGGCCAATAAAAGCCCGTAGGAAGGTAAAATAAAACACATTTGTAATGGAGAAATCAATAGGTAATTTGCGCCAGCAGTTTCGATTAGGGTGGCTGGATATACTTGCCGGGCTCAGCATGGCTGCCGCCCACAAGTGGCTGTGACCCTTCACTTGGAGATGAGCAGCAGCCCCAGCACCCGCTGGGCAGAGTGGGGAGGGCCGGGTTGAGCAGGCAGGGCTGGGTGGGGGACATACCAGGATGCCTGCCCTGCTCCCCTCTGATGGGAGGCTCAGGGCCTGTGGCTTCCACTCAAAGTCCCACTCTGTGCGCCTGTCTTGGGAAGAGTTGCCTGAACTGAGGGCACCAGGTCCCCATTACTGACCTGCTCTCCCCGGAATTCCCACCTTCTCTCCCTGGAATTCTCGCCACCTGTGAGCCTCCCACAGGAAGGCCAGTTCTGTGGCTGCCCAAAACGGAAGTGGCAGAGGCTGGTTCTTGGCTTTTGAGCTTTAAAGCTGAGGGCCACGGTCGAGCCATGAAAGGACCTGAGATGAGCCTGTGCCTGTGCCTTGCTCCTTTGAGATGAGATTCTGCAGCTGGAGGAGGGAGACAAGAGGCCGTGCCGGGCTCCTAGGAGGGTGCGATGGTCACAGATGGCTTATTTGGGTTTGGGGACCCGAGAGCAGAGAAGCTGTGTGCCCACCTCAGGTAGAGGTCCCATTTGTCTATTTCGGCTTTTGTTGCCAATGCTTTTGGTGTTTCGGTCATGAAGTCCTTGCCTATGCCTATGTCCTGAATGGTTTTGCCTAGGTTTTCTTCTAGGGTTTTTATGCTGTTAGGTCTTATGTTTAAGTCTTTAATCCATCTGGAGTTAATTTTAGTGTAAGATGTCAGGAAGGGGTCCAGTTTCTGCTTTCTGCATGTGGCTAGCCAGTTTTCCCAACACCATTTATTAGACAGGGAATCCTTTCCCCATTGCTT